CTATATTTGGCTTAATAGTAAAATTTACTTATAAAATTTGCAGATCCTCTCCAGATGATAGATGAATTGTCTATTAACAAATCAAAATCATTATTTAATTTTAAGATACATAATAGAATATTTACCTTTTTTGCTTTAATATCTTTCTCAATACTGATTTTTTGCCTTTTGGCACGATTTATTTCTTGTTATTTATGTTGTTGTTTCTGTTCATGCTAATGATAATTTAACCAAGTTTATTCAGCAGCCTGTTTTCTACGTAGTTTTGATTTGCATTCATTAAAAATTGTAATATTATCTCTAAAAAAAATTAGTACTGTTTGATAAAATTAAAATTTAAGATTCTAATCTTTATATTAATTTTCTCAAAGATTTATTTATTTATACATTTAATTAATTATGCTTATTATATAAGAAAAAAACTAATTGTACACAGAGTGTTTGAGACACAGGTATGATCTACAATATTAATTTTTATTAAAAATATAATATTTTAATACTTTTAATTAATATTAGAGTTAGGGTTAGAGGTTAGAATTAGTAAAGAGTATAGTTTATAGTAAAATTTTGCAAGGAATTTTTTTTCTTAAAGCCCAAAAGATGGTTTTATTATTAAAATTTTAAGATATTACTAACTTTTTATTTTTTTCTTTATTTTTGTTGTACAAAAAATGATCTGCATACTGCATTTAATTTTATATTTTGATTGGCTTTTCTATTTGTTTTGTATAACAAGTGTTTAAACACCCCATATACAAATAGTAATTGTTATTATATAATATTTGAAATTAATGTCACATTGAAAGTTATATTTAAAATACTGAACTGTTTTGATTCCAAAAAGATGTAACTTAATAGTGAATCTATCATAAAAAATTAAAATTTGTTTTTTTGTCAAGAATATCATATCAATGATAATATATAGCAATTGAAATTATCAAATATCAATTATCACCAATTACTAAGAAAGATTATTTAATATTATCATTATGCTTCAGAAATTAAATCATACATGCATTAATTAATTATACCAAGAAAGTATAGTTTTAAAAAAGTTTCCACTATTATTTATAACCAGTAAATTTTATTACCAATTATGGTACATTAATATAATTTTAGCATATTTGTATTCACACAAGAATATTTCTTGATCACAATATGTTCAATGCAATTTTTACATACTTATATTTCCACACTAGCATGATAACATATAAATCTGCTATATTAGTATTATCTTAACTCCTATTAAATTTGGATAAATGAAAACTATTACTTATACTAAAAAAGAATTTTTTAAAAATCAGTATAGCAAACATCAAAAAAGTTAAACAGAACCCTCTCTTACATATTTTATGTTACATATTCATGTGATTGTACTGGTATTATTATATTACTGATTATATGTTTAGACTTTAATTAATAACAAGATTATACAAATCTGATATATATAATTATTGTTAAATATATAAACCAGTTTATTTTTAGCCAATCAATTTTGTTTACATATGCATGAAAATAAACTAATTATGCAATTTTTATAGTAAAAATTACAAATTATATACATAATATATTACAATATAATTTTGGATACTCTAATTTAGAAGATAGCTAAAGCATATATCTATATAATTTTTAAAATTTAATTAAATTAAGATTAGAGCTAGTTTAGTATTAGGTTAGAAGTTAGAACTAGAACAGGAATATATATAAAATTGTTTTTTTAATATTTTTGTTATATTTCAAGACAGGTTTAACTTCTATTTTCATTTTTTGAGGTTTATTATTTTTTTGACTTTTTAGAGCTGATCTTGAAACAAAATTGTATAATTCTAGTTAGTTGATTTACACAAAAAATATCATATATATATATGGTTTTATATATTTTTTTTGTAACAAAACTTATACTTTTAAGACTCCTGTACTTACTTTGTTTTTTTTTTTTTTTTTTAAGGTGAGGTTTTGCCTTTATCTTTATTAATAATTTGTATTGAGAATCCACTAGATGTTTCTCTAGTCATTAAGACCAATAATTACAAATTTTTTACAAGAATAAGACTCAGACTAATTTATCTGTAACCCAAACCTACTAGAGTAGTTAAAAACTCACCTAGATTCTATAATTTATAATATTATTAGTGGGTGGGCTATATTTTATCCAGGAAATTAACTATGTAAATACTTTTTTTATTGCTTTTCCAAGGGGTAGGCATTTGTTATCTATATGTTGTTGGTCAGATAAACCACAGCAGCAGCTGTAAGTATGTAGCATTCTTTGTCGTGAATTATTGGGTGAAGATGAGGTGTTTTGTCTAGTTTAATTTCTATTAATATGTGTAAGTATATTGTGTTGTTGCTTCCAGTTAGATAACTGAATACAATATGGTTTCCAGATTAGATTATATATATTCTGAGATAATTGCAAGAGTAGTTGGATTGTAGTATTTGTTGCTGTCTTATTAGAGTCTGTGTATTCTCTAATTGTTTATATAAGTGTGATAGGTATAAATCTTTGAATGGTTGTAAAGATATTTGTATTATTTCTGGTGTAGTTGTCAAGTGATAGACTTGGGTGATTGGTAAGCTTCTGATGTAAATCTTGAAGTTGTATACTTGTTATGTCAAGTCTGGCTGCTTGTAGAAATTGCTGTATTGTATCAGTAATAATTGTGTTAAGATTAGGTGTATTTGGGTATTTGAGCCAGTGTATATGGCTCTCATGAGAGTTGCAGGAGATACAATTGATGTTTGGAAAGTATTGAGGGTATAAAGCATGTAAATGTGATAATGTAGATAACATATTAAACATAAGTTTAATTTTAAAAGTTTTTTCTTGGCAGAGTTTGAAGTTGGTATAAAAGGATGATTTTTTGTGATTGTTGTTAAGGTAGAGCCAGGTAGCATTCTAGTCAATTTGTGTTGCTGGTGGGATGATATTTTCTATTTGGTGTTAAGAGGACCACATTGCTATGATGTGACTATTGCAAATATTTTTAATTGATTTGTGAGTTGGTTGTTCAAATACGTAGGTTGTATATTGTAGGTAGTATGATGGATTGTAAATATTGCTATGTACAAATTCAAGATTAGTTATATGATTACAGTTATTTGCTAACCTATCAGCTGTATTATTAAATATATTATTGCTATGTGCTGTGATTTTTTGGAGTTCAATTGTTAATTTGTAAGAGTTAATTAAGTTTAATAATATGTGCCAGATTGGCCAATAATTATATGAATATTGTTTGATTAGTCCTGGTGGATATTTAGTGAATTTGTCAAATTTGGATTTTATAGATTGTGAGTCAGTATAAATACCATATTTTCACATAATAACGCACAAGGGCATTATTTTGAAAATCACATTTTTTAGAAAACTAACAATTTGACTCAAAATAATGCCCATGTGCATTCCAAATTAACGCGCCCCCTTTAAAATTATATTAAACTTAGTATCGATAAAAATATATTACGTCTTCATGTGTGAAAAAGTAAATCCAGAGCATTATAAAGTGGAATGTTCTTATTTGCGGTGAGATTTGGCGGAGGAGTAAACCTTATATTCTAGGTCCTTCATTGTCTGGATGTTCCTGACAATATTTGCTGAATAAACTTATATCACATATCAAATGCTATATACAATTCAAGTGTTATATGCTAAATGTTACGACACAAGTTGTCAATTGTTACAGCACATATTAAATGTTACGATATTTGTCAATTGTTACATTTTATAGCATATGTAAGTTAAGACTTTTAACATATCGTTCATATCTTAAACTATGGCATAGAACATAAAAAAAGTTACATTACCGAACATATTTCAGCACCTATACTTGTGACCTTACATACTCTTTAACTTAGTATAAAATTCATATCAGATATATTGTACAAGTGAAGATACTTTCTAAAACACTCTTTATTGAAACCTTTGAAATTTAAAGACCAAACTACATTAACTATTAATATAAGATCTATTTTTTACCAAATATTAAAGTAAGAACTATTACAATTTTAAATTATCATATTAGACTTTATAGTCGTGCTAATAAGAAATTTTTATTTGAAATTTATACTAATAATAAATGGTTTAAAATCCAATATTTATAATATATAAAAAAAAAATTTGGATTATGCTAGTATAAATATACTAGAATAATTGTAGATAAGTATGCAAGAAAAATTCTAAAAATGAAAAAAAAAGTTAATGTATTACATCAAATTAACTGTTTCAATTTCATCGTCACTAATCTCAACTTCTTCAAACACACGAGTAATTTCATCTTGATCAAATTTGTCAAAACTAATTCCTTCATCGTCAGATTCTTCATCAAATTTATTACTGCTAATTTCTTCACATTCATCATCATCATCATTATCACAATTATCTTCATCTACCATTTGCTCTTCCTCTTCACTTGATCTTTCTAGATTTGCA